GTGAAAATTTTATCTTTGTGTTGCCAAAGATACCATTAATAAAATCAGTGGACAAAAAAATAGATCTAAAAATTAATATTTGCAATGTGATGACAGAGTTAATGTCTAACAAGAAACTCTTACAAAATAGAAAAGAACCTATTTTTTAAAAAGGGCAAGGAATATGAAGTAACGAATTAATTAGATCTGTATCAGTTGGCTTGGAAGGCTTTATACAAGACACTGAGGACAAAAATGCAGAAGTGTAAGACTTCTTTCTCTCCCACATGTGTGAGAGAGAGAGAGAGAGAGAGAAAATGAGAAAGAGAATCTGTGAGAGAACTTGGATAGGAGAGAGGAGTAATGCAAGCAGAAAAAGAAAGAGAAAAAAAGAGAAAATAAAGGCATTGGCTCTCAATCCCAGACACTCCAGTCTGTAGATCAATTAATTTTAGGGAAAAAAATGTGTGTGTGTGTGGTTTGTAAATAAACAAAACCTCTATATGTTTGTGTATGTGTTTTTATGAAACTGTACAGACAACTGCTTACCGTTGGAGGATAGAATGGATGGGGGCAGCTTTGTCTTTAATACATCTTTGCATTGTATTGTTTCACTTGCTATAACCAGTATCTAGTATTTTTATAATTTGAAAAACACCAGATTTTTAAAATCATGCAAAACAAAAGTATCAACAAATTAATTCTTTTTATGTTACCTATTTACAGTGGCACTTTCATTCTCATCTACCCCTCCCTATCCATCCTAATTTGTTGCAGGAAGCACCATATACCTTTAGCTACCACCTGTCTTCTGACATACCAACTGCAACAAGGACTAAGCATTCCAATTCACACGTTCCTATAACAAGCCTTTATTACTGGCACTTAGAGTTTTCTGTCTTGGCTTTTCTGCCACTTCCCACCCTTGTCTTATTTGCTAGGTCTTTTGACTGACCACAAGTACTTACCCCTTGGGATCCCCTCTGCTGAGTCTTGGGCAATCCCAAGCTCAAGTTTGTCCTCTTATATTGTCTTCCTCCCCATTTTCATTCAAGCCACTGTTAATCTCTAGTTCCTGCAGGCTGGAACCATTTTGTTTCTAGAGCAGTGCTGTCCAATAGAAATATAATTAAGTCACATAGTAATTTAAAATTTGCTAGTAGCCACATTCAAAAAGTTAAAAAACTCTGGTTATGGTGCCTCATGCCTGCAATCCCAGCAACTCGGGAGGATGGCTTGAGGTTAGGAGTTTCATACCAGCCTGGGCAACATAGTGAGACCCTGTCTTTAAAAAAAGTTAAAAAGGTGAAATTAATGTATTTTATTTAACCCAATATATCTAAAATGTTTCAATATGTAATCAACATTAAAAAATAAGATATTTTGGCTGAGCACGGTGGCTCATGCCTGTAATCCTAGCACTTTGGGAAGTTGAAGTGGGAAGATTGCTTGATGTCAGGAGTTTGGAACCAGCCTGAGCAAGAGTGAGACCCCATCTCTACAAAAAAATACAAAAAAATTAGCTGGGCATGGTGGCTCCTGCCTGTAGTCCCAGCTACTCGGGAGGCTGAGGCAGGAGGATCGCTTGAGCTCAGGAGTTTAAGGTTGCAGTGAGCTATGATGACGCCACTGACTCCAGCCTGGGCAACAGAGCGAGACCCTGTCTCAAAAAGATAAATTTTAAAAATAAGATATTTTACTTTCTTTTTTTTCACAATCTGTGAAATGCAGTGTGTGCAGTATTTACACCTATAGCACATCTCAACTTAGACTAGCCACAGTAGAAGTGGCTAAAGTACTAGACAACACGGTTCTAGAAGAACCCGTCCCCTGATGGCCCTGCAGTTTATAATAGATTATATTATAGTTCCTCCTCTTTGTTGTTTAGAGACAGCGTCTTGCTTTGTCACCCAGGCTGGAGTGCGGTGGAGTGGTCATAGTTCACTGTAACTCCCAACTCCTGGCCTCAGGCCATCCCCTCCCAAGGAGCTGGGACTACAGCGGGCACCACCACGCCCGGCTAATTTTTTCATTTTTTTGTAGAGACCGGGTCTCGCTATGTTGGCCAGGCTGGTCTTAAACTCCTGGCCTCAAGTGATCCTTCCGCCTCTGCTTCCCAAAGTAGTTCCTCTTCTTGGGACTGCCATCCGTCCACAATTCATTAAGACTTCCAGAGTGTAAATAAGGTGCTGTGAGTGTTCAAACGAACACACACTATCATACACGATTAACTTAATACTTATCTTTCGGCTGTTTTCAGAAAATCAATTCTGCATTTAATAGATAGATTTTCCCATCCAGATTCAAGAGGCAGTAGAATGTAGTAGTTGGTAGTGTGTGTGGGTTGGAAGCTTGGCTCTGCAATTTACTATCTGTGGGACCTCGGGCAAATTGCCCTCTCTCGGTCTCAGTTCCTTCTTCTCTAAAATGGGGATATTTGTGCGGGTCCTTATGCGGATTAAACGAGTTAATATACATAAAACGTTTGGAACAGCGCCAGGCACATCATCAATGTTCAGTATATGTTAGCTATTATTCCAGTAAACTTGTTGCGCGACCTAACGTTAGTCCCAAGAAAAGCCCAGAAATTCTGAAGAGGCATTACAGCCCTGGTTGAGAACCCGGTCTCAGGCCATCACAGACGTGGGACCCACGCGCCGACCGCCCAAGCCGACGAAAATATGGCTCCGCTCACCTTTCCCTGAGGGGCTCCCTGGCCGGCCCTTTCCTGTCAAGGCTGACGCGGGAGGTAACCAAGGGAAACCTGAGGAGACACTTCCTAAGGCCAGGCCAGGGAGACAAGTTTTCTGACAGGGCCTGAGGGAGGCCAGAGGAAGCAGGAAGGGTGGACTCCTGGACTCTCAGCTACCTGCGGTGTCCTCCTCGATGTGAGGACGCAAGACCTGCCTTGGGCAAGGCCCGCGTCTTCACCTCCCATCCGCGTCTGCGGCGAGGGTTTGGTCCCGAGGGGGCGACAACTGTGGGGCGGGCGGGGGCGTGGCCAACGTCGGCCCCGCCCACCCCGAGGGCTCAGCCCGGAGCGGATGCGCCCGCCTGATGCAGCCAATCGGGAAGCGCGAAGCAAGTTCAAATAAAGGCGGCGGGTGAATATGGCGTACCCGGTTTGGTCTGAGAGGTGATCCATCGGCCTTCTGTGTTGAAGATGTGGCGGGTGAAAAACCTGAGCCTCAGCCTGTCGCCTTCGCCGCAACCCGTAAGTGGGAGAACTCTGGTGGAGACAGAGCTGGGCCGGGGCTAGTGGGGCGGGAGCGCTGGCGGTGCCGAATGTCCTGGAAACCTGGGTTGAGCCTGGGGGTGGGGGGCGTATGGAGTCCTTTTGTTCGCCCTGCCGCTTTCTCACGTCTGGGGTGGGAGCCTACTCTTCTTATCGCCTCATAGGGGCTTTTTGCGGAGGGAGCAAGGGCGGGCGGGCAGAGCCCAGTCTTCCTCACACTCGCTCTCTTCTCGCTTTCATTCTCAGGGAAAACCAGCTATGAGAACTCCGCTCCGAGAACTTACCCTGCAGCCCGGTGCCCTCACCACCTATGGAACAGGGACCCCCATTTGCTCCTCGCTGACCGCATCACTGTGCAAGCTGGGGCTGCAGGTGAGCCTCTCCTGGACAGCTGCTTAACTGGGCTATTTGCCCAGGGCGAGAGCTCAGAGGAACAGAGGGCCGGAGCTGGAACGTAATTAATAAGGATAATGAAGTCTTCTACCTCAGTGACATCCATTTACAGCTATTCAGGCCAACAGAGAGGTGCCCTAGGGTGGTTAAAGGAAATCCACTGAGAACTTCAATCTCTATTTAGCTGTTAGTTTTTATTACCTCCTCCCCCGTTCGACCTTTACCAAACTACTGAGAAATACTACCACCCTGATTAGTCGTCTCCCTCTAACATGGAATCACGTATAGAAAGGTCAGTCTGCTACAAGAGTGAGGCAATATCCATCCATTCCTGGAGGTGTCAAAACTCTCCTGGTATCAAGTTACACCACTGCAAGGCACGGTACTTGGAACACCTTAGTTTAAACTAGCCCCTTGCAGAATTGCCCTCACTGATTTGTACTTTTTTCAAAGAAGTAACCATGTAGAAGCTACTTATCAGTTGCTGTAAAAACGGAAGGAGCTTGATCCCTCTATAAGGTTCCTCGAAGAAAGGCTTTAGAACTTACTGCCTGGGACAACTGTCTTCCTGAAGAAATTGCTATCCTTTTCTTTTTCTGATAATGAGAACTATGTAGTTTACCATATTTTCCCTCTTGCTCTGGCTTCTAGAAAGCTCAGGGTCAAATCTGATGATCAGATGCAGCTACTATTACTGCCAAAATAGGAAGATTCGCTTCCTCTTTCTTTTTTGACTATGACTTTGTTATTTCATTAACTTTATCTATCTGTTCTTTTTCATGCTGTGTGAATTATTTTTGGAAGGAGATAGGCTATCAATAAAGTAGGAGAAAAGAAGGCTGTGTAAAGACAGATGACAGCCTGAATAACAGAAGTATAATGGTGGCAGTCTTTCTTGAAAGAGCTCTAATACCTAATGTCCAAATGGAAATGTTTGATAATCTGTGCCATTCAATTACTAGCTACTAGTCACATGATTATTTTTTTTTTTAAGGGAGGAGTACATGGGTACTTTATTTATTTATTTAGACAGAGTCTCACTCTGTTACCTGGGCTAGAGTGCCGTGGCATCAGCCTAGCTCACAGCAACCTCAAACTCCTGGGCTCAAGTGATCCTCCTGCCTCAGCCTCCTGAGTAGCTGGGACTACGCCACCACACCTAGCTAATTTTTTTTTTTCTGTTTTTAGTTGTCCAGCTAATTTTTTAAAATATTTTTAGTTGTCCAGCTAATTTCTTTCTATGTTTAGTAGAGATGGGGTCTCTTGCTGAGGCTGGTCTTGAACTCCTGAGCTCAAACAATCCGCCCTCCTCGGCCTCCCAGAGTGCTAGGATTACAGGCGTGAGCCACCGCACCTGGCCTGAATTTTTAATTTTATTTAATTATTTTCAAATGTGGCTAGTGGCTACCATATTGGACAGTACAGCTTAAGGTAGAAGAGAAATAAGTACTAAGTGGGAACTCTATAGAGTTTATAGAATTTAACCATAGTTATTTAATCACCGTAGCAGAATACTAGATTGAAATTTAGGTCTCCTACCCTCTTAACTATAGGGCTTACTACCTACTGATATAGTCAACTACATGGACAAAAAGGTTTTTTCCCCCAACAAAATAGCTATTATTTTTGCTTTTTAAATTTTTGATTGTTTATATAATATATATTCATTGTTTGAAGCATTTGAACAATATATAAATATAAGGAAGAAAATATGTTTCTGCTATCTTAGAGAACTATCATATTTGAGAATTCTTTCATGCCTCTCTTTATGTAGGTCTATTTTGTGTGTATATAGGTATATATATGTATATACACACACATCCTTATATTATCATAATACTTTTTTATCAAGGTACTTTTTACCCCCAGATGCAATCTTCTTTTTCTTCTCCTCCCTCCCCTCCTCTTTTTGCTTAGTTGTATCTTTCTTTTTTGCACCTCCCTTGGAATCAATCCCTCCCCCACATGCCCTGCTCTTCCCAGGTATTTTAACAACCTGATGTGTATCCCTCTATATTTTTCTCTGTGTTCTTCTAATAATATGCAAACATTTTATTGATAGGATCACAATATACAGCCAATTCTTGTTATTTGTGGTTGCCATATTCTATAAAGTTTCTTGAACAATGAATTAGCGAATACCAAACTGCTGCTCCTAGGGGAAATAATACAGGGTTAGGTTCCTTCGAGCCTCAAATCAAAACATTTTCATCATGATGATGTCTTCAAGATTCATTCACCTTGTAGCATATGTCAGAATTTTTCTTTTAAAAGGCTGAACAATGTTCCATTGTGTGTATGTGCTGCATTCTGTTTATCCCTTCAACTGTCACTGGACACTTGGGTTGCTTCTACCTTTTGGCTTTGTGCCATGAACTTCAGAATACAATCTCTCTTTGAGACCCTGCTTGCAATCCTTTTGATTATGTACCCAGAAACGGAATTGCTGGATCATATGGCAATTCTATTTTTAATTTTTTGAAGAACCACTATGCTGTTTTTCGTAGTGGCTACACCATTTTACATTCCCACCAACAGTGCACAAGGATTCCAGTTTCTCCACATCCTTGCCAACATTTGTTATTTTCTGTTTCTTTTTTTTTTTTTTTTTTTTTGAGACAAGTTCTTGCTATGTTGCCTGGGCTAGAATGCAATAATATCATAGCTCACTGCAACCTCAAACTCGTGAGCTCAAGGAATCTTCCTGCCTCAGCCTCCTGAGTAGCTGGAACTACAGACACGTGCCACCATGGTTGGCTAATTTCTTGTTTTTGTAGAGACAGAGTCTCACTGTGTTGCTCAGGCTGATCCTGAACTCCTGATGTCAAGCAATCCTCCCACCTTGGCCTCCTAAAATGCTAGGATTACAGGCATGAGGCACTGTGCCTGGCCTATTTTCTGTATTTTTGATAGTAGCCATCCTAATGGGTATGAAGTGGTATCTCACTGTGGTTTTGATGTGCGTTTCCCTAATGATTAATGATGCTGAGCATCTTCTCATGTGCTTATTGGCCATTTGTATATCTTCTTTGAAGAAATATTTATTCAAGTCCTTTGCTCATTTTTAAATTGGGTTTCATTTTGTGTTATTGAGTTGTAGGAGATTTTTATATATTCTGCATAGAAACCCCTTAGCAGATATATGATTTGCAAATATTTCTCCTTAAAGTGATTTTTAAAAGGAGTAAATAAATAGGAACTCAATAAACAGAGCAAAACTTTTAAGTTGCACTTTTGCATTTCTAAAAGTCTTTGCTTTGTCTATTAAGCTTCTAGACTGTTTAGTGCAGATGAATTTGTTTTCCATATCATATATCTTTAATTATATCTTTTATCATAATAGTGCTATAAACCATTTGATATTAATATTACTACCTCTGCTCTCTTTATTTGCTTCTGCTTGGTATCTCTTTACCAATCCCTTTTTCTACTTTCCTTAAGTGCTTTGAAAGAAAAACTTTACAAGTTGAAATAAGATACATGAAAGTACAATAAAACATAACAGCATAACAAATTAGTATAAAGCACACATCCATGTAATCAATACCCAGGTCAATAAATGTAATAGAACAGTGCTAGAATATCAGAAGCCCTTTTCAGCTCAACCTTTTGTTTTTAAGCCTTACCACTGCAATAAATAGGAAATTTCATGTAAGTCTGATTATTATTGTTTTGGTAAATAATTGGTCTATCTAAAGCTTCTACAATAGTTTTGTCTTCATTGTGGTCAGAAATTTTACAATTATGTGTGTAGACATGTATCTTTGCTTGTCAGTCCTGCTTAGAACTTAGTGAGCTGTTACAGTTTGCATTCTCAGGTCTTTCTTTACCTTAGAGAAATTTTCTTCTGATATTTATTAATCAGTGCCTCATCTATACATGTACTCTTTTCTCCTGGAATTTCTTTTATGCAGATGTTAGGTTTCCTGGGTTTATCTTCCAACTCTCTTAGCTTTTCCCTCAGATTTATATTTCTTTGTATTTTTATCTTTGCTTTAAGATATTTCTTCCACTTGTCCAGCCCAGTAATTCCAGTCTCAACTCTGATAATCCTCTTTTTCAATTCCTTTTACTGAAATTTTTTATTTAAAATAATATTTATTTCTAGAAAGTCCTTTTTTGTGATAATGTTGTACTTGAATCTTCTTAAGTAATCCATTTTTTGGTTCAAATTGTCATCTGTCTCTTCCAGCAGCTCTGTTTTGTTAGAGTCTACCTTTTCTAACTGTCTTAGAGTTTGTCCTTTCTCTGGCTACTAGATCCACTTAAGGTCATTCATATTTTCCTTCTGTTGTTCACTGAGTCTCAGGTCCTGCTATCCTGCAAGTGGTAGAAGGTGCAGTTGTCTTTGTCCCTATGACCCAGCAGTAAGGGGTTCCCAATCCCTTGTCAGGGCACCAGAAGGAAGTCTCCCTGTGGCTTTTCAGTCTTCTCTGCTATAAAGGCTAAAGCTCAAATCCCAAGGGCCGAGTGGTTTCGACATGTTCAGGATATCTTCAGCTCTTGTGGACCAGGTCACTGGCACAGGTTGATGTTGCCCTGTCTCCCTGGAGTTCATGGATCTCTGTGGTGTTGTGTACTCTCTAACTCTGGTCCCCAAATTCTCATCTGTTCCAGAAGGGAGAAAAATCTTATGCTAACTCTAGATTCTGACATAGCTTGAGCCTTCACTCATACCCTGTGGACCTCTCCTACCTGTTTCACTAGTAGTGGGCTGGGGGTAGGAATAGAGAGGAGTAGGGTCATATGCAGGCTACCACATGTCCATGATATGAATATATATTCTCAGCCTGTTAATAATGTAGGCTAGTTCACTTGGAAGGACACAAATGGCTTACTAGCTTTTCTTTCCCTACTATTGGATCTCTGCAGTGAGCAGCAAGGATCAGCCAAGTTCTTACCTAAGCAGAGGTAATGAGAACTCTTTCCTTTTTTGAGTTTGGACAATATCTTGCACCCATAATTGTATCTTGGGAACTGAATTAACTCCCTTATTCAACTACTTTTCTTTTCTTTGGCAGGAAGGCAGCAGCAGTTCATCTCCTCTGGATTTTGTCAATGCCAAAAGGACAGACTCCTCATCAGAACAATTCAATCATCCCTCAAAGTGGCCAGAAGCCTGTCAGCATGAATCAGATGAGCAGCCTTTAGATATGATTCCCCAAACCAACTCTACTCCCAAAACATCTAAGGAAGCAGTAGACCTACCAGATGACTCTGTGGTTAAAACCATGGTCCTTGTACCCTCTCCAATGGGGCAGCAGCAGGATATTACATTTGAGGTCTATTTAGATACCATGGCAGAGACAAACAGAATCTCTCTAGATGAGCCTTTGAGGCCAGGAAATCTGGTGAGAAAAGAGGTGGCACCCTGCATGGAAGACAGCTTTCCAGAAGTTGTTGCTACTACGCCTAAGAAACCTACATTTCAGGATTCTCCATCCCATGTCTTGGAGTTTCCACCAAATCCATGTTCTGAGCAACAACTACACTGCTCCAAGGAAAGCAGGAGGGACAGTAGGACTGAGGCTGTGCCTGAGAACTTAGTACCTTCTGAAAATAATGACTTTTTGCCATCCTCCATGCCCTGGCTTTCCCCTTCAACTGCCTTGGCAGCAGATTTCCTTGTCGATCATGTGGACTCAGGGGAGGAAGCTGTAGAGTATAGACCTATGGAGGAAAGAGACATGAGCTTTCCCACACTCCCTGAGGAAGCTGAATTGGGAGATCAAGCACTTGTCTCAAATGTGGAAGATATTCCATCCACATGTTTGACACCAAATCCAGTAGAAATGGAATTCCAGGCAGCTCCAGGCCCAGCAGTGGAAGATACTGGTAGGATTCTTATCTCTGACACAGAACCCTGGACGTCCCCACTGGCCTGGCTGGAAAAAGGTGTAAATACCTCAGTCATGCTGGAAAATCTCCGCCAAAGCTTATCCCTTCCCTCTGTACTTCGGGATGCTGCAATTGGCACTACCCCTTTCTCTACTTGCTCGGTGGGGACTTGGTTTACTCCTCCAGTGCCAGAGGAAAAAAGGACAAACACATCCCAGGCAGGCACGGTGGGAACCAAGGACAGTACCTCTGGGACAGAGTACCTCCTGTGTGCGTAAGTGCCCTCTATGTCCTGTGAGCTCCATTACACTGGACCTGCCACTCCCATCCCTTCTCCTCCCCTTCTTTTCCTTATGTTCTTCTCTTCCTGCTACAGCCAGCCTCCAGATCTGACTGCCTTGTCTCGACATGACTTGGAAGACAACCTGCTGAGCTCTCTTGTCATTCTGGAGGTTCTCTCCTGCCAGCTTCGGGACTGGAGGAGCCGGCTGGCTGTCCCTCACCCAGAAGCCCAGGACAGTAGCACACAGACTGCCACTTCTCCTCGTGGGGTAAGAAGCTTACTTCCAAAGCTTGGAGGATCCCAGTGGCCCCTCTTCCTCAGAATTTAAGCTGATAAGCTACCAAAGGGCAAAGGGGACGACTCAATCACAGGAACATTCTTACAATATGTGTAAAAGCTGAGGATCTGGAAAATTCCTTAAAGCTTTGGGTACTCACTATGCCCCTGGGGTACATCAAGACTATTCAAGGGAGTGTAAACAAGGAGAGTTTTAAAGGAATTGGTTTCTAGATCTTCATTTTCCAAATAATACTCTTTACTATTTTTTTTTTTCCCTATTTTCCTACTCTCAATTGATCATGCCCACTTTACTAAAGAAGAGCATACTTACTACCTATCCAGAACCTTACATTGTCAGGGCATAGCAATCAAAGGACAGTAGAAAATATTTGTATACATGCTGAGAAAGTGAATGACTGTAGTGATTATATAACACGTCATATTTGTGTGTTTTTAACAAAATTGGAGGAAGATTTTAATTATGTTTAATTATGTCAGTGGATCAAGCATTAAAAATTTTTAATGAAAGTTCTCTAAGGTTTTTGGCATATATCTCTAAAGGGGTTCCTAGAATTGGCCGACATGCCCTTCTTCCCTTATTCCATTCCTGCTTATTCCCATTATTTATGTGAAGAAGATTTCTCAGTGCTTACATCTATTACAATGGAAAAGAAAGGGTCATAAATTGTTGTCAAACCATGTCTTATTGTAGGAATTATAGTAATCCACAGATACATGAAATAATA